CTTTTTCCGCAATTTACGATCAACTCGCTCGACCGAATTATTAACACACCTTAATTCCTACGACTGCACTGATTTCTTCCTTAGTTCGGGTGTAAACGTTTGCATTGCAAAACTGTACGAAATTTTGGATCCGCTTATTTCTCGTTTTGTCTCCCGTAAGAAGATAATTAATGTTGGGGATGAGGTTTTCCTACCCTTGCCCTTTCGTCGCAGATTGCGCAGACTTTATCGTCGATTACATCTTCAGAACGACGTTTCTGTTCTGCCCTTGATTCGTGATATTTTTGATCGAGCTAAGAGATTGTCTGAAGAAAAACAGCTAGCCGAAGAGGTCCAGTTTACCGAAAACCATCCGTTAAATGTCTCGAAAGTTTTCTCCCGAACCCACAGAAAGACGCAGCATCCCATCTTCCGATACGCTCTCGGAACTCCCATAGGTGATGCCCAGTTTATCGCTGATAGCTTCAATGATTTTCTGTCCAAAACGTTTATTGAAGACTCGACCACTCCGCCTCTGTCCATCCAGGCATTGACCGGAGCAGTTCTCGAATCTATAACTTTCACTCTGTGGGATGGGACTGTTGCGATTCGGCGTTTTCGTCCATCTTATAGTCCCGGTCGTGATGATGTCCCAGTAGGCATTTTAAAAGCCGATGCAAATACGATTTTCCCATCCCTCCTATGCAAGATATTTAATCTTGCTCTTGAAAGTGAAACTTATTCTACCCTGTGGAAGGAATCACACATTTTGCCCATTCCTAAGCACGGCAAATCTACGTCATTTGATGGCTTTCGGCCAATAAACACGCTCCCCGCAGTTTTGAAGATCTTAGAGACATTGATCAAAGATAAGATGATGTGTCCCTTAACGGAGAATAACCTACTGAGTACTGCTCAGCATGGATTCCTCAAAGCTCGATCTTGTGACACCTGTCAACTCTCTTTCTTTGACTATGTTCTTCAATCTAGGGACAATGGTTTTGCACTTTACACAGTAGATTTCGATTTCACTAAGGCTTTTGACCGTGTTGAACATGCTCTTCTTCTCTTGAAACTGTCCTCTTTCGGAATAGGTGTCAAACTTTTAAATTTTTTATCCTCTAACCTGGGCACTCGTACACAACACGTTAAGATTTCCAATACTACCTCCAACCCCACACGTGTGAGGAGTGGAGTCATTCAGGGTAGTGTACTCGGCCCGCTTTTATTTTGC